TGTGCAATCTGTGTATTTCCTCCAGAATACCTACACATCCTAAACGATATAAAGAGAGGCTCTCCAAGCACAGTGGGTTAACTCTGGACTTTTCAGAATGTCGGTGCAGTGGAAGACTCTGCTTCATTACACAAAGGGACTTTCTGGTGTTTCTGTAATACATTATATAGGTGCTTACAGAAGCTGTATACTTCTATACAGATTTCTATTTGTGTGGTAGCTTTGGACATATACAGAATCTACACACAAATACATGGTTCATTTTGTATCAAAAATCACCTGGCACATTGCAGCACTCATTGAACTCTTTTTTGTATGTATCATTCATTTTCAGATGGTCCCTTTCCCTGGGAATTAAAGATCAAGAGGACATCCTCCCAGCAGCTGGCACTCAGCCTGGCTAGTACATTACTCATAGTGTCTGTTTCCCAAACCACAGGGCCCATCAATAGCCATGGCCTCATTACCGCAGTAGGACGATGAGGTGGATTAGGATGGTACAAAACTGTCTCCACCCACAAAACTTCATTTGTAAAGTAGTTGAAAAGCCGGGTCTTCTGCCCCTGCCCCTCCTATCAGCTCAGCAATGAAACTGTGCATTTCCCTCAGTGCAGGCGAGGCAATGGGTCTGAACCAGGGCTGAAATTCATCTGGAGCTGGCTGGAGCGGAGCTCTGGTAAATATTTTCACTCCCCCTGGATTTTCATAGCATGTTGAGGGAGGCCTGGGGGGCTCCAGGAAATACTCTATGAGAATTTAAGCCCTGGTATGAACAGGGAGGTTTCATTGCAATGGGTGGCTCTAGTGGATCTGGGATGGGAAATGTACACTCCCCTCCGTTCCCTGAAGATTGGGGCCCAATCCCCACCTGGAGTGAATCAGCAGAGCTCCACTTAAGTCCAACAGCGTTATGTCAGTTCACACCAGCCAAGAATCTAGCCTTTGGGGATTTTCCGCCTGATATTTTTTGCTCTCTGTCTCTGAACCTGGCCAGAGCCCGTTTCCTGGGGATGAGGAGTTCCTTTCCTTGAGACGCACTGAGAGGCTCACACTCGCCGTTGTGACATGCACACTTCCACGTCCCCAGTCTCAGATACACTTCTGCATATTGTGCTCCACCACTGCAGCTGGCCGTGTCATAAAATACAGAGCTCTCAAGCCAGCAGTAACTCCATGTGCTCAACCCCCTGAGGCAACAGCAAGCCCTAGAGTAAGCTCTGACTCCAACCTCCCCTACCATTACTTGCCACCCGCCAGACCCATGCAGGGAACTCAAACCCCTCAGCAGGAAAGGGTCCAGCCCATCCAGCTCCCAGGCAACTAGCTTCCAAGATTCTGGCTCCTCACGACACCCCCAGATGGTTCCAGCTCCATACAGCTTGGCAGATAGAGGTTGCTTTCCCTGGCTTTACGTCCCCCCAGAATCAGGGATTGCTTGCTAGGCACTGTTGTGAAAGACAAAGGCCCCTGAGGGCTTTAAGGATCCTGTCGGGGTCTCTCCTGCTCACTGCAGCAGTACAGACATGGAAGGGGCATATGCGTACAGAGAGGGCAGTAGTCCCTTTGTTTGGCAGATCAGAGAAATGGCAGTGCAAGTGGCAGTGCCCAGCAGACAGTGCAGGTGTCTGCTCACTGCCACACAGAGCCGGAGGGCATCTGGCAGGAGAGTAGGACAGGAGATTGCGTGCCAGGCCTGGGATCCACCTACAGGATACAGAGACCTGACATTCCATGCGTGGCCTGGCCCATTGGCAAGAGATGAGGATGCTAGGCCTCACCCCAGCCCTTCTGGGCCCAGGCAGGTGAGGGGGCTGAGGGCTCACACTAGGCGCAGGGCATAGGATTGCCAGGCATCCAGTTTTCGACCGGAATACCCAGTCAAAAAGGGACCCTGGCAGCTCCATTAAAAGTCTGGTTGGCAGCGCTGCCAGCGCAGCAGGACTGGCAGGCTCCCTGTCTGGTTCTGCACAGCTTCCAGAAGTGGCTGGCATGTCCCTCCGGCTCCTAGGTTGATGCGCGGCTATGGGGGCTCTGTGCACTGACCCCGCCCAGAGCGACGGCTCTTCAGTTCTCATTGGCCAGGAACAGCGGCTAATGGGAGCTGTGGGGGTAGCGCCTGCAGGCAGGGGCAGTGTGCAGAGCCCCCATAGCTGTCCCTCCGCTTAGGGCTGGAGTCCGCACCTCAAACCCCCTCCCTGACCTCAAACCCCTGCCCTAGTTCAGAACCCCCTCCAGTGCCCTAACTCCATCCTGGAGCCCGCACTCTGCACCCCATCCCACATCCCAACCCCCTGCCTCGCCTGGAGCCCCCTCCTGCACCCCAATCCCTCATCCCCAGCCGCACCCAGAGCCCGCACCCCCAGCTGGAGCCCTCAACCCCCCACTCTGAACCCCTTGGCCCCAGCCCAGAGCCCCCTCCTGCACCCTGAACCCCTCATTTCTGGCCCCACCCCAGAGCCCGCACCCCCAGCCTAGAGCCCGTACCCCCTCACAAACCCCAATCCCCTGCCTCAGCCTGGAGCCCCCTTCCACACTCCAAAACCCCTCGGCCCCACCCCCCCAGCCCACAGCCCCCTCCTGCATCCCAAATTCATCATCCCCGGCTCCGCCCCAGAGCCCATGGGATGGAGTGAGTGTGGGGAGGGGGCCTCAGAGAAGGGGCGGGGCAGGGGCAGGGCCTCGGAGAAGGGGCAGGGCACGGGTGTTTGGTTTTCTGCAATTAGAAAGTTGGCAACTCTACGCAGGGGAGCTCACGCTGGCACCAGCACACTGTAAGAAAGGGGCATAGGACGGAGACTGTCCGGTCAGCGGTACCCAGTGCATGCTGGGAGAGTGATGGATCAAGTGGGAGGGGAAGATTTCCCCCAGGCAGAAATGGGTTATCCTGCCTCTGTGGCTGACAGAGAGCGTGTGGCCCCAGCTGGAACAGCCACTGGGCATTTTACAGTGCAGGTGGGAGCAGGGCCGGCTTTAGGAAGTGCGGGGCCCAATTCGAACATTTTCGGCGGGGCCCTGGCAGGGATGACTAAAAAAAAAAAAAACCATGTAAAAAAAAGCCTTTCATTTCTTATAAAAAGTTCTGATTTAAGGGATGTGCCACAGTATGTATTTTTTGTACCAATAGGGTTAACATACGTCCGTATTTTCCCGGACGGCGATTTAAGAACCAAAAAGCCTGACATGTCCGGGAAAATACGGATGTATGTTAACCCTACCTAAAGTTCTTTTTTAAAAAGATGGGCCTGAACTAGAAATGAGCTCCGTTTCACATGTGTGGGTCCCCGCCACTCCCTGGGGGTGTGCTAGGGTGACCAGATGTCCCGATTTTATAGAGACAGTTCCGATTTTGGAGTCTTTTTCTTATATAGGATCCTATTACCCCCCACCCCCTGTCCCGATTTTTCACACTTGCTGTCTGGTCACCCTAGGGTGTGCACATGTGTGGGTCCCAGCTGCTCCCTGCCCCCCTCATTGAAGCAAGTGTGCAGGGTTACTGCCCTGGGAACTGCAGGGCACCAGTGGACATGGGGCTGGCTGGAGGCAGGGCAGGGGCTGACTGGAAGTAGGGTCTGGCTGCAGGCAGGGCAAGGGGTGCGGGGCTGGCTGGAGACAGGGGTGTGTGGGGTGGGCTGGCTGGCTTCAGGCAGGGCCGCAGGGGGGTGCGGAATGGGTTGGCAGGGCTGGAGACAGAGGAGTGCGGGACTGGCTGGCTTCAGGCAGGGGGTTGCGGCAGGGGTTGGCTGGAGACAGGGCAGGGGGTGCGGGGCTGGCTACAAGCAGGGCAGGGGGTGGGAGGCTGGTGTGGGCAGGGCAGGAGGTGCAGGGCTGGTGCAGGCAGGGGTGTGTGGGGGGGGCTGGCTGGCTTCGGGCAGGGCCGCAGGGGGGTGCGGCAGGGGCTGGCTGTGGGCAGGGGGTGCGGGGCTGGTGCGGGCAGGGCAGGGGGGGCGGCAGGGGCTGGCTGCGGGCAGGGGCTGGCTGCAGGCAGGAGGTGCGGGACTTGCTGGAGACGGGTTGGCTGCGGGCAGGGGGTGCGGGGCTGGCTGCAGGCGGGGCAGGGGGTGTAGGGCTGGCTGGAGACAGGGGCTGGTGCGGGCAGGGCAGGGGGTGCGGGGCTGGAGGCAGGGTAGGGGGTGAGGGGCTGGTTGGAGACGGGCTGGCTGTGGGCAGGGCAGGGGGTGCAGGTACAGCCCACCCTGTACGGTAAGTGCCCCCTCTTCCTCCCTCCCCCACCGGGGTAGCAGCAGCAGCCCGGGGCTCGGGGGCTATTTAAAGGGCCCGGGACTCCCCTGCTTCCACCGCCCCGGCCCTGTAAATAGCCGAGGGAGCCCTGGGGAAGCGACGGGGCTCCAGCGGCTATTTAAAGGGCCGGGGCAGTAGAAGCAAGGGGAGCCCCGGACTTTTTAAATAGCCCCCAGAGCCCCGCAGCCCTACCCCAGGGCTCCAGCAGTGGGGCTCTGGTGGCAATTTAAAGGGCCTGGGGCTCCAGTCCCTGCTGGGAGCCCCAGGCCCTTTAAATTGCCCCCTGGGGAAGTTGGGCCACCCCGGTACCAGGGCTTGGGCGCGGGGCCCTCTTAGGGGCGGGGCCCGATTCAGGGGAATTGGTTGAATTGGCCTAAAGCCGGCCCTGGGTGGGAGACACCAGGCCTGTGGGCTGTGCCTCAGGGCCATAGCCTTCAAGGCACGTGAGCCATCATCAATTCATTTCCTTTCTCCCAGCCCCCAGCAGAGACCAGCCCCTGCTGCAGACGGGGTATGGCCCAGAGGGGCTAGAGCAGCCTGAGGGAGCCCTAGAGTGGGGCGATCTGTGTGCAAGGAGCGGACTGGCTTCCCCCGAGAGACCAGGTCCAGTGCCCCTCGCTCTGCACAGCTCAGGGAAAGGTGCTGCTGGAGATGCAGGAGCAGGAGCCATGTATGAGGGACTCGAGAGGGACCCGCGGCAAATGGCACATGGCCTGCCCCTGCCATCAGCCCCAGGGCTGCTTGTGAGACAGGTACCGGAACAGGAGGGCAGCAGGGGGTGCAGGACGTGGCTGGAGACCCTGATGGGGGAGAATGGAAGTTCCGTCCAGGGTGCCTGTGCAGGCCTGGCCTTCGTGAACAGTGCTCACTTGCACAGCCTGCACTAAGGCCTGGGGGGAGGGTAGGCAGTGACTGTGTGGACAGCCCCGAGGATCACCCCCATGCCCTGCCATTGTTTGAGGGGACAAGCGGGCAGGGCCAGGCTTCTCTTCGAGCCCCCTGGACAGAAGTCACTGCTGAGCGCCCCCAGAGTGCAGTCAGCATGTCCCCTCCCCAGCAGAGGGGGAGGGGTGTTCTTGAGGGGGGAAGTGGCTGACTCCCCTGGGACATGGGGGCTGCTACTCAAAGGACAGGAGGTCTGGGTGGGGCCCCTCGTTTTCCAGGCCGGAGGGCTGTGCCACAGGCTGGACGTCGCCCACGGGGGGCTGGTACTCCAGCAGGCAGCTGAGTCTGAGGGCGGGTTTCTCTGGGCAGGGCGGGGACACTGCCTGCCTGTCAGCAGCTTTGAGTTTGCCCTCCAGGTTCTCCTCGTGGATGAGGTCAGGCACTGAGAGGACCCTGCTGTGGGAGGGCCCGTCCCCGTTTGGCACCGCTGTGCCAGGAGCACCCAGCTCAGCACTGCCCTCTGGCTGAGACATGTCCCATGCCACCTTCCACTGCTCCCCCTGGGCAGCCTGCTTGGGGTGTTCCTGGCCTTGCTCGGGTAGCGCCTCGGCGCTGCACTCCAGGCTGCTCATCACCGGCTGGGAGGAGATCAGCATGTCCAGAGGAGTCTTCAAAGCCCGGGGCGTGCGCTTCTTGGCTGCCGGGGGCGGCGGGTCGAGCCGGGGAAAGGTTTCCAACAGCACACGCCTGCAAGCACAATGGCCCTTCGGTGAGCGACAATAACACCCGACACAGCGCTGACAGCTGCCCGGGGGTTCCCTGGATGCACTCCCATCCAAGGGCTGAGCCCGCTTGATGGGGTCTAAGGCATCAGTATGGGATCAGCTCACACAGACACAAGCACACTCCCAGCAGCTGGACAACTCGTGTGTGCTGAGTGCTGACCGCACAGACTGAATGGCAGAGAGGAAAGAGGGCCAGGAGAGGGTGCTAGCTTAGGACACCTGAGTTCAATTCTTTGCTCTTCTACAGATACCCTGTGTGACCTTGGGCAAGTCACTCAGCCACTCTGTGCCTCAATTTCCCATCTGTAGGGTGCTGCAGTGAAGGCCCTTTGGACAGGCAGGCTCTGGGAGCAGAAACTACTGGTGTAGAAATAATTCAGTAAGTCAAATAGTTCCTAGGGCTGCTTTTATTCACCGCGGCCACCCACTGCTTCAAATCCCTCCCTGCTGTATTGGGATGCATCAGTTCCTGCTGCCGGCCCTAGAGAGGGGCACAGCCCTCGCTTCCAACTGGAGAGACGGGGCTTCAATGTAGAGACGGGTCCATGGGAAAGGGGCTAAAGCAGCAGCTCCCCTCCTCCTCGGACATTGCAGTGAGTCCCAAGCTAGGCCAGGAGCCACCCCCTTTCAGCAGGAAGAGCTCCCTGCAGCCAGCCTGTCCCAGATGCCATTGGATGGGGAAGGGCAGGGCATGCAGGTGGGGGAGAGTGGGACAGGAGGGGCTCGGAGAGGTGGGAGCAGCAATGCGCAGCATCCCCCAGCCAGGGCCGTTGCGCCGTGGCTGCAGCATGGCCCTGCAGTCCCAGCATGTGCTCCAGCTGGGGGGGGGGGGGGGGTCAGCATGCAGTCAGCCAGCCAATACCTGAGGGAAGACTCACCCTGCATCGTGGGCCTGGTCCCCCAGCAGCGCGAGCATCCCGCCCGACAGCTCGGCCCCCGCGCTGGCATTGACCTCGGTCACTCCCACCTCGCCCAGACTGGCGGGCTCCTTCCGGCGCAGGAAGTCGTTGACTTTGGCCCCGACAGCCTTGCTCAGGTTCTTGAGGTGCTGGCTGCTCCCCACCCGCAGTCCAGTCTCAGCCGCGGCTGGCAGAGCTGCCAGGGCGGGGCCCAGCGAGGCTTTGGAGACAGACCGGCTGGGTTGCAGCTTTGGCGTGGGGGCTGTGTTTGAATTCTCAAACATGCTTTGGTCAACTGGAAGAGAAGAGAAGAGTGGAAGGGTTGGTGCGCAGGGGAAGGGCACGCATGGGCAGAGGGGCGAGTGCATGGTGCACGGGGAGTGGCTGGTGTATGAGAAGGAGGTGGCACGTGCGGAGGGGGTGGTGCGCGGGAAGGGGGTGGCATGCAGGCAGTGGGTGGCGCATATGGAGTGGTTGGCCTGTGAGGAGTAGGTGGCACATGGGCAGTGTGCGGGGAGGGGCTGGCATGAGTGTGGAGGGGGTGGCATGTGGGCAGTAGCTGGAGTGCATGGAGTGGTTGGCATGCAGGCAGAAGGGCTGCATGCAGGCAGGGGGTGACATATGGGTAGTGGGTGGCACGCATGGATCAGTTGGCATGCAGGCAGGGAATGGCACGCGGGGAGCAGTTGGCACGCAGGCAAGGGGCAGCGGGTGCAGGCAGGGGACAGCATGCAGGCAGGGGACAGCATGCAGGCAGGGGTTGGCATGCAGGGAGCGGTTGGCATGCAGGCAAGGGGCAGTGTGTGTGGAGAGGTTGACATGTGGGGAGGTGGTGTGCGCAGAAGGGGCTGGCACATGGGCAGAGGGGTGGCGCATGCACAGCGTTGGCACGTGCAGGCTTCCCAGTGAGACGGGGCTCTTGCCAGACACAGAGGTGCATTACTCTGGGCCCAGAGGCTACAAATGCTTCTGCTCAGTACATGACAAGGCAGAGCCCTAATGTCAATGGCAGCCACTGCCCCCTAGCCCGGGGCTCTGCATCCCTCCCTGTCATTCAGGCCTCCATGCCCAGCAGCAGGCCCTGAGTCCAAGAGGCTGGCCCTGCTCCAAGGCTGCAGAACCTCCTGCTACTGGCTCAAGCGCTGGTGTCACTGCCAGACACCCCGGTGTCCCAGGAGGATTTACCTGCCTTGTGGGCATGAGCCATGGGCCAGACAAAGAAAAGGGCAGTGATTCTCCTGGTGTCAGTACTGACACGCTGGGGTCCTGGGGGACGCATGTAGGGACATGAGACTCGGATCCTTGGCGCAGCAGGTCCCACAGCCAGGGTTACTAGTGGGGCCTGTGACCAGTGACACCGGGCAAGAGGGTGGCTGCACTGTGCCAGGCAGGGCTGGGCATCACCACAGGCAGCACAGGGATCACTGTGGGAGGCAGCGAGGCTGGGAGGAGCCATGGCATGGACCTGTGTGGTGCTCGGCCCTTCTCCAGCTCTCGCAGCTGCTGCCCCAGGTGCTGCCCTAACGGGAATGCCAGCACGAGAGCCTGGCATTAGAGATATACCCCATTAGACAGGCACCGAGAGGCTGATGTTCCCAGAGAGCTCTCTGGTTCCCTCAGCCTGGCCCTGGTTGCTGGGGTGGGGCGCTGGGCCCCTGGAGGGCCTCCGGGCACTGGCTGAGGGAGCTTGTTCCCTTGGGATGAGCAGGGTCAGGAACAGGTACCCAGGCTGTGCTCCTCAGTGGCACTGAGAGGCCCACAGAAGCTGGGCAGGGGGGCACTTGTGCAGAACAAAGCCTGGGAGTACTCCACTGCAGTACCCCAAACCACTGGCCACTTGTGAAAATCTGGGTGGGCCTCAGGACTTGCCCAAAGCCCAATGGTGAGTCAGTGGTGGAGCCCAGGGGACCCAGCACCCAGCTCTGCGCCAGCCACTAGACACACTCTTCACTCCCCTCCATTCGCTGGCGAATACAGACTTCCTGCGGGGAGGGGCGGCATGCTTCACAAGCTAGGTGCTAGCCTGGAAGTCGTGCAGCCTGCGTTCTGTTCCCAGCTTGGCCACCAACCCCCTGGGTGACCTGGGGCAAGTCACTCCCCTGCTCCGTGCCTCAGTTTCCCCATCTGTAACATGGGAAACATGCTCCTTCCTCTCCTTTGTAGAGGGCCGTTTGGGTGCTAGGAGAAGAATCTGGCTTGTGAGTGATATTGCAAACAGCTCCCACTCAGCAACCCCCCTCAGCATCTGTTCCTGGGTCTCACAAACAAGCCAGCTCAGGTCAGCCAGCTGACAAGCCCCTGGCAGCGATGAGACTCAGTGCTACAGGAGAGGGGCCATTTCAGCTAGCCCAGAGTCTGCACCGGGGAATCAGCCTGTGGGTTACTCAGCTGCTTGAGAACAGCCTGGGCACTCACAGCAGCCACCCCTCCCCGAGCACACCCCTTGGGCTCTGTCCAAGTGACCTGGTCCAGGCAGGAGCCATCCAGGCCAAGGGGAACATGCCCTGGCCCAGGATTGGACTGTGCTGCACACCCATCTTTAGGCTGCTCTGGCTGCCAAAATGCCCTCTGGCAGAAATCAGAGTGGCCTCTGGCTGCTCTAACGTCTGGCAGCCTGTTCCAGGCTCCCATACAGCCCAGGGCCCCACGACCTCCCTAGGGAGAAGGGGTCTCTGGGTGACGAATCAGTCACTGGTCTCTCCCTGCCTCTAGGTCCCACTGTCCTCTCCCTGCTCCCTACCCCTGTTGATCTGAAAGCCTGCAGCCTGCCCCGACGTCCCCGTGGCAGACAGCCATGGAGCATAGGAGGTGGAGGGCACTGCTGCTGCTCTGACTGCTAAGCTGTTGTTTTCAATGGGGCACCTGCAGCAGGGCTGGGTGTGTGTGCGGGCGGGGGGGGGGGGAATGACAGCATTAAGCACATAGACCCTCCTGGGGTTCTGGCCTAGCCGAAACTCTGACCAATTTTTGCCAGGCAGTTTCCCTGTCTCTGAAACCCAGCGTGGATAGAGACAAGCCAGCAGAACAGGGAGCTCTTGTGTTCCCCAGAGCGCAACAGCCAGTCAGCCTCAGCCACAGGGTGGGTCTCGGGCTAGCCCCTTTCAGAGCTAGGCGGGGCCGCTCTCACACCTTGCTGGGAGTGTACCCTAAGAACCCCAGCCTTCTGGCTGGCTGGAGACGCCCCCTCCTAGGGACGGAGAGCTGCACCTGGGCCCCCATCTCAGACTGACTGGGAACAGACAGGCACCCTGGGGCAGTGCAATGGACAGCGTGCGGCTCAGTGCCATATGGGGCCGGGGGTGAATGGTGGGAGTGGGCAGGGTGGAGGGCAGGAGGAAGGCGGGGGAGGGGGGAAAATGCTCACTCTGGTACAGACACACGGGTGCGGGTTGCTCAGCAGGGTCAGCTCTTACCTGACACTGAACATGACTTGGGAAGCAGGTTGCAAACAGAGAAAGTGATTTTCAGAGCAGACAGCTTGATGTCTCTGGAGGGAAGTCCTCAGTCTCCCCCCACTGGCTGCACCCATGAGCCTCCTGCAATGAGGGACCTGCCTGTGCGGCACACCTCGCCCAGAGCCAGCCCCTGCAGTGCCCTCCACTGGCACCACTGCTCAGGGGGCTAGGCAGACCCAGCATCAGCGATGAAGAGACATGTCTGTAGCACGACACACAGTGGGCATTGTGGTGCAGCCATGAGATGGCTCTTCTTATTGGGCCGACACTCGAGGGCGGGCAGTCCCTCCCTAGATCGCTGTCTGCAGCCGCGATTGCCCAGCAGAAGTCAGGGAGCAGTGGGGACGTGCCAACATGCTACACTAGCCGGGGCTAAGGCCACATCTGCATGGGAGAGCTGCATCAGTTTCACTTACACTGCTGTTCAGACTGGTGCAAAGCCCCATGTAAATACTCTGATTCGGATTTCAGAGCAGCTTAGAATCATAGAATCATAGAAGATTAGGGTTGGAAGAGACCTCAGGAGGTCATCTAGTCCAACCCCCTGCTCAAAGCAGGACCAATCTCCAACTACATCATCCCAGCCAGGGCTTTGTCAAGCCGGGCCTTAAAAACCACTAAGGATGAAGATTCCATCACCTCCCTAGGTAACCCATTCCAGTGCTTCACCACCCTCCTAGTGAAATAGTTTTTCCTAATATCCAACCTAGTCTTCCCCCACTGCAACTTGAGACCATTGCATCTTGTTTTGTCATCTACCACCACTGAGAACAGTCTAGCTCCATCCTCTTTGAAACCCCCATTCAGGTAGTTAAAGGCTGCTATCAAATCCCGCCTCACTCTTCTCTTCTGCAGACTAAATAAACCCAGTTCTCTCAGCCTCTCCTCATAAGTCATATGCCCCAGCTCCCTAATCATTTTCCTTGCCCTCCGCTGGACTCTCTCTCTAATTTGTCCACATCCGTTCTGTAGTGGGGGGCCCAAAACTGGATGCAATACTGCAGATGTAGCCTCACCAGTGCCGAATAGAGGGGAATAATCACTTCCCTCGATCTGCTGGCAACGCTCCTACTAATGCAGCCCAATATGCCGTTAGCCTTCTTGGCAACAGGGGCACACTGCTGACTTATATCCAGCTTCTCATCCACTGTAATCCCCAGGTCCTTTTCTGCAGAACTGCCTCTTAGCCAGTCGGTCCCCAGCCTGTAGCAGTGCATGGGATTCTTCTGTCCTAAGTGCAGGACTCTGCACTTGTCCTTGTTGAACCTCATCAGATTTCTTTTAGCCCAATCCTCCAATTTGTCTAGGTCACTCTGGACCCTATCCCTACCCTCCAGCGTATCTACCTCTTCCCCCTGCTTAGTGTCATCTGCGAACTTGCTGAGGGTATTATCCATCCCATCATCCAAATCATTAATAAAGATGTTCAACAAAACCCCAGGGGTCAGTCCTGGGGCACTCCGCTTGATACCGGCTGCCACACTGAGCATGGCATGGTGCAACCACACACTGACCAACAGCCTGTCCACGCAGCTAGCCCAGTGCGGCTCTGGGATTGGGCCTGCTCAGCCACTCAGCCCTGTGGGGAGGAGCTGGAACATGTGCCTCTGAGGGGTCAGCGAGGGCCCAGGAAGCCAGCATGACATGGCTCCCTTGATGGCAGCCCAGCAAAGAGAGTCTGGGACTGGCAACTGACCCCCCTTCCTCCTTTCCCGGGCTCCCTCCAGATGAGGACTGAGGCCAGGTGAGGGGTGCTCTAGCTCTTCTGGAGCCAGCGGCCTGCCCTTTGCTCCCTAACACAGCTGTCAGCAGTTCCACCCCCCGACCCGCTGGTACCAAG